ATTTTTATGAGCAAAAAAATTATGTTGTGGTATAGTTGACTCGACAATATAATTAATAAAATATAAATATAATTCTCCATACATTAGTTAAAAAAGACATGAAAAAAGTTAGAGAAAAAAATATGTTGCAAAAGAGAGAATAGAAGCTATCATCAAGATTAAAAAAAAATAAAATTAAAAGGGTGAAATTATAATTTCTAGATTTACCTATTTCCTTTAGTTGTAAAATTGTGTTTATGTTATAACTTTAATAAAGTTATGAGCTGAATTGAAGTAAAATTGGTTGAGTCACAAATTAATTCATTATTTATCTTTTTTTCTTTTAATTTTATATTCAGAATAGGGGGTATGATTAAAATTATGAAAAATGTTCCCACAATTTTTGTTATATAAATTATGCTATATATTTTGGGAAGTGGCCATGTGTCGACCGTGTTAAAAAAAAAAAAGAAAAGGATCTGCCCATGATTCCAACAAAATATTTTTGTTATAATCTTCATTGAAATAATTCAAATGAAAGGAATAACATTTACATATTCATTAGAACTGTCGTTGAAATTCGGTTGTAATATATTTTTGTCGAAATTGTCGTTGGAATTTCATCATTTGTTTTGTTGCAAAGGTACTTCTCCATTTGCGTTATATATACTATTGTGTGCAGTTTTTTTTTTCAAGTGTGCAATTAATTATTATGAAAATTGTTGATAATGATTGAATATATAACACATGAAATGCAAACATAATTTACTTTATTATAATTAGTACTTTTTTTCAAAACAAACAAGATACATCTAGGTTAAATGTTCTTACCTATTTTATTAGTATTATAATAACTAAACAAGAGTTAAAAATGATGTTCTATGTAATAGAAAATTAAACTTTACAATGCTCAAGCTTATAGTTCGCATTCAATCCAAAAGTAAAAAAAGTGATAAAATTCGTTAATGTCATCCATCAGTTTGAGCTGATTAATGAGAAATATGAAACACACCTAAGATGCACATTTATTTGAACTAGAACTTTTAAGTACACAATTTTTTTTTTTTTCATTCAAAATAGGGATATTAGTATTAATTTTTTAATTAAATATATCATTACTATCTAACATTAAATTTTTCACTTTCGAAATACTTAATATTTTTTTATTTGTTATCCTTTTATATGTAATATATCACACCATTTCTTTCCAATGATGTTTGATTTGACAGTCTATTGTAAATAAAATAAAAATATTATAATTGTTTAGTAGTATTTTGAGGGTAGTTGGTAATCGAGCTACCCGACTTCGAGTCGTTCTCAAAGGAAGACGGTTCGGAGCTTCGTTCACCACTCAATTGTCCAAATCACACAAAATGGAAAAATAAAAGCTGAACATGCTAATCACTGGGTTGGAAAGTGAATTAATGCTAATTGATACTCGAAATTGAAAGAAGCAATAAACAAGAGAATAAAGCAATTAACACTACCGGAGTCTCTATGCCATCGAAACCAAATGAATTCAACGACGAACAATATGCAAGTTCTAAGCACTAGATTACTAACCCTAACCTTCTAACCTAAGTGATTAAGCTCTAAATAGAGTCTTTACCCTTAATCTAGATAGGCAAGTAAATAGTCCCTTCTAATACAAGCAAGAGCAGTGATCAAGTCCAAACTTCCCATCCATCATCCAACAAACACTCAAATTCACCTTGATAATCATCATAAGTAAAAACGAGGCAAAGATCGAAGTAATAAGCTTTAAAAGTAAATATCCAATTTTCTATGCGTGCTAGACGAAAATCGGAGTCAAAAGCTCGGAACTTGAACGAAATAAGAGTCGCCGGAAAATGATGTCATAGAGCTCTCAAGAGAAAGAAGAGAGAAAATTAAAAAGAAAAGCTTAATTCCTAAAGTGAAAAAGTGACAAATGAAATCTAGATAGCCAAAATACAAAAGACCAAAATGTATTCATAGTTCCAGCTCATAGCCAAAATACAAAAGACCAAAATGTATTTATAGTTCTAGCTCGAAACACACAGCAGAAACACGCACATTAAATGAAACACACTCTCGAGCTCGCCAATGAATTCGCGGGTCGCGGACGGCAGATGGCGCGGAGGAAAAACACTACTCTCGAGCTCGCCAAAGAACTTGCGCGCGCGGACGCGAAATGAAGCACTACTCGCGAGGTCGCAGGAGAATTCGCGCGGTGCAGACACGGAAAAAGGGCTCTCGAGGTCGCGGAATGTGTGGCGAGGTCGCGAGCTCTGGGGCAGCGTGCGTCCGCGAGGCGTGAGCTGAGGCGCGAGGTCGCGAGTGTGGCCGATTCTTTTTCAACTTTGGATCGACACGGCTCGAAATGCTCGGAATGGACTAGCTCGATGGTTCGAAACTTCTCGAAATTGACTCGGAATACTTGGGAAATCTCGTCTCTCGGGACTCGGTTCGACTCTTTTCATCATCTTGGAAATAAATCTGAAAATACACCAAAAACACGGAAAAGTACGCCAAAGTATAAAATAAAAAGAAAGACACAAAAACACACGGAAAACGATAAAATGGAACTGTCAACCCTAAAACGAACCTAAAAAGACTCGACTAAGGCACATAAAACACATAAAGATAAGCACAATAACATAATAAACAATAATTATTTCTAACGATATAAAATAATATATATATATATATATATATATATATCAATACCAATTTAAAATAATAAATAGACCTAAAAGCATCTCATAATATAAATTATAAATCCATGTTAAATAAATATTATTAAGTATAAAATAACATAAGATAAACGTGTGGTATATTTTTCTTACATAGATTTGAAATATTTATACTACGAAAAAAAGAAAAAAATAAATGTAAAGTTACAACTATTGTCAATTTTAATTATGTGAATTAAAAATAGAAATAAATAAATAGTATGCTAAACTATTATTCAATACTTTTTGAAAGGGAACACCATAATCGTTGTAACATATACTTTCAATGAATATAATATGAAAATGAGTTAGTTACATAATGTTTCATTAAACATTGAAAAAAAAATGTAAACTTTTTAATCTTACAAACAGTATAAAAGTACAACTTATCAAATATATATTATTATAAATAAATAAATAAGTAATATTAAATTATATTTTATCGTATGTGATTATAGTTGTAGCCTAATAAATAAGATACTTTGATAACAACATAATTATATAAAATGCGTAAAAAAATTAAACAATGCATATAAATATGCCAAAATTCTTTTAACAAATAATATATTATTTGTGAATACAATAAGAAACAAATAAAACATTAGTAAGGGAATGAGGAAAAAGAAATATGATTTTTTTTAGAGAAATATGAATATCAACATCTAGAAACAAAAGTCTTTTCTAATTACTACATTTTTTATTACTGGCGTTGAAATTCTCATAAATATTGATCCTATATTATAAATTTTGAATTTTTAAATAATTAAAAAAATAAAAAACTTTGTAATACATAATGTATATTTTATAATGACTTTGTGATAATAAAGTTCACAGATGGTGAAGAATATTATAATATAACAGATTTTAAATTTTTCTCCTCTCTAAGATTTTAACAAAGGATATGTTTCTCAATATTATCCCATTATTTTTCTTTTCATTGTTAAAGAATCAAGAAAAGATATTTATCATAAATTTTCGAAACATTATGATTGATGCAAAAATTTGGACAATAAAAGCATCAGAAATCATTGGAACAACCAAGATGCTCAATGATTTACAAACCACATATTATATAGTTCGTCTATCTTCTAAATAGATAACATTGAAAAGGAAACGTCGGGGCATGATCAAAATATTATTGAATTTTTAAATGAAGTTATCATATTTTGATAGAAATATTTACAATTCCCATTGGTGTATTGTGCTCGAATATATGTGCAATTACTCTAGAATATATACTTTCATGGAATGTATGATGATTTCAAAAAATAATTTAGTATTCATGTAACGTGTGATGACTTAAAAAAATAATTTAGCGTCTCGGGAGAAGTATATGTAACCAAGATTTTGAAAGGTCAACTTTTATTTGGAAATGAAACTCATTCTCACCCAGTGGGGCGATGCCTCCTTGTGGGAGGTGTCAATTTGTCTATATGGAGAGAGAATAATGAAGTAGTTTAAAAAAAAATATCAACAATTTTAATGACACGGTTGATTATTTCACTGAGATATTCATTAACTGTTATTAATAATACCTTATCAAGATCATAATCATAGAGTTTGACTATATATTTAGACAAAATATTTTGCATTGTTTGAATAAAGTAGACTTTTTGTCTAATGAATTAAGAAAAAATTTTCTATTGATGTATAGAACTCGAATGGGTACGTATGTTTTTTTATGAGAACGTCTCAAAACTAAAATGAAAGAAAATCACTCTTGAATCATCAAACATAAATAAATAAAAGAACTAATGCATTTATATTATAAATTATGTCTTTATTTTGTTATTTAGTGTCTTTTTAAAAAAATATAAAAATTATTGACTCATTTTTCATATATTTTTGTTGGGGTTGTAATATGTTATTTAATTCTGTTTACATTAGTACATCGTTATGTTATTTTTGAAAAAAAATACATTAGGACCTCATTTGTTCTACATTTTATTTTATTCTTGCAATGATATATTTAATAAATTAATTAATTTATTTTACTAAACTTAATCGGTAAAAAACATTCGCCGCCACGTGCGATGCACGTGCACTTTACTAGTAATAATATTATAACTACAAGTATATAAAAGTTTCAATAAGTTTTAAAAAAGTCTATTATAAAAGTCTTAAAAAGTCACGAATTATCTGAAAGTCTCAAAAAGTTTGCTAAAGCCATTAAAGTCTTACAAAGTCTACATAAATCACCAAATTTAATTTTTTTTTTAAAAATCATTGAATCTTAATTGAATACAACCTTAATTACATATATTATTTACAGATATCACATTCTCCATTTCTTGTTCAATGTTCACTTTTTACAGTATCAAAATACCCCTTCGGCCACCGTCGCATTCTCATTTCACACACAGACACGCACTGTTTTTTGTATGTATACATATCAATGTTGTCTCCATCTCGGTTCTTCCCCAGTCCCCACTCTTTTCTTTTCCTCACAGTCCTCACATCTCTCTCTTTGTAACAACAAAATGGTTTTTGACTTGTGAAGGCTGGCTAGGCTTGTTAATCAGTAAACCCGCGAGCTTTCTTTATTGCTCCACCAAAATTTTGCTTTCTCTTGTCAAGCTTTTAGGATGAAGACAATTTTTGATTTTCTGAGTCAGAGTTTTGTGAATGTAACTGAGTTTCATCAGGCATTTGTTTTCCTCTGAGATCTGACAAGTGCTAGAGTGACAAGCCACTCGAAGGTATGAAGCAGAGTACTCGACTCAGCTCCGCTGTTTTTCAGCTCACTCCAACTCGGACAAGGTATAAAAATCTGTCCTCGATTTCCTCAGAGGCTCTTTGTATTTCCAAATTGTTTTGAATACTGCAGTCTATGTTTGTCGATAATGTTTTGCTCATAGCTAACTTTTGTTTGTATTAATATAAATGAACTGATGATGCGGAGCTACATTTTGCCTGTTTGGAAATTTTTTCTTTGTAATAGCTTGGAAATATTTGCTGGCATTCATTGTTACCGATGCCAAACTCCAATGAAAGCTCTTTTTGTTTTGTGCATGAATAGTATCTAACAAGCACTTACGAAACTTCCAATCATTCATTGTTTCTTGAAGTTCGAATGTGGGATTACTAGTCATTTATTTCGTAATGTATGTTGATAACTGTTGAATCCATTATTACACGAAGGGCATGGGGCATTGTGGACTGTGAATGAAAACTATGTATAAAGTATATTAGAAACTGGTGTGTTTTCTTGGCAGTTTAAATTTTCTGGAAAGTAAGTTGTTGTATGAGAATTTTCTCGATCATGGAGATGTATCCCTGGATTAATTTTTTGTCAGCTGCGTTGCTTTAAAAGATTTTGATTCCATACTAATCATATTGTTGTTTAGATGTGATTTTAGATAGGGAACATCGCATGTTTCTCGGTTCTTCCTTAATTGTTAATGGCATGGGAAATACTCTTTGATTATCTGTTGTTACTGGTGTGCTGGCGTATCATTATTTTTATGTGTAAAGTATAATCCGTTTTTAAATTTTCCGCTAGATGGCAATCCATTAATATAAAAGCGTAAGGTCATTGCATAGCAGCAGCAGCAGCGCTGTTGTAGTAATTTAAATTGGTATTTTGTGCTCCTGACACTTTTGCATTTTTCAGGTGTGACTTGATCATCATAGCCAATGACAACAAAGAGAAAATTGCTTCAGGATTGCTAAACCCATTTCTTGCACACCTAAAGACCGCTCAAGATCAAATTGCTAAAGGTGGTTATTCAATTTTGCTTGCACCAGAAAAAAGCAGTGATGCCGCATGGTTTACAAAGGCCACTCTGGAAAGGTTTGGGTGCAATACTGTGGACCAAAACCTTCCAACTTGCAGTTATCTGGTTTTGTAGTTGAAACGTGATTAAAATATTTCCTCATTTACGTACTGTCCTGGTACTTATATATATATATATATATATATATATATATATATATAATTGGGTTATCAAGATACTAAAATCATTCATTAGGCTGTTCAGTGATGGATCTCTCTCTGTGTGTGTGTGTGTGCATATATATATGTAAATATTATTTATATATTAAAGATATTGATTCATAGTGATGTAGCACGCCTTCAACTAATATATAATATTGTGCTTGACCTGCAACTGTTGTTTTCTTTTTCTTAAAGAAACAACAATATATGTAGTACAATTTGAAGGTTTGTTGCGAGCCTGAACCTTGTAGTTTTCTGCTGCTGTTGTCTATTTTTCGGACCGTCGTATTCTACTTGTTCTATTGCTGTACCAACCTGATTCACTTTTAAACCAGATATGACAAATGAGTGCCTCAATTTTAACAGGACAAATAATCCCATCCAGATGTTCAACTTTGTTGTTGTAGCTTATATGCCGTTTTGCACTGAAAAGAAGTTTTATGCAAATAAAAGCACGATGCTTGAATACTGGAGTTACCAATGTGTAAAAGTCATAGAAATTCGGGATGTGGGTGGGAATTGCGATACGTATATTTCGTTGTTTCACCATTAAGTTTCTATGTTAATTGCTAGCCCTCTGATAGGAATGTCCACACGTTAATCTCCTGATCACTCTCTTACACTGCACTTGGCTTCGTTGACTGTCCTTTTTGCTTTTGATAATCTTTCTAAATATATTGTAAAAGATGTGAAGCTTGGTTTCTGTCTCAGGGACTGTTGTATATCATTACTATGAGGTGGTGATAAGAAAAAAAACTGATTTTCATTGAACAGATTTGTTCGTTTTGTGAGCACCCCGGAGATTTTAGAACGTGTCTATACAATTGAAAATGAGATCATACAAATTGAGGAGGGAATCACCTTACAGAGAAGCAGTGATGCTGCAGAAATCGTCGTAAACTACTCTCAAATAGGATAAGTTCTCTGTTCTTTGTCAATTTACTTACTCTAAGTTCACTTGTTTCTATTTATCTGTATAGGGGGAACACAATGGAAGAAAACCTTTCGAAGGGAATGAAGGTATCTGGAAACACAATTATGTATTCAAATATTAAATGTCTTTTCCTAAAGAGCTGTGCCTGTGTTGTTGATTCTCTCCCTTTTTTAATTTCCTGACGATATATACCTCAGCCCTAATTATTCCTGAAATGTATTTATGTATTGTATTAATGTACCTCATCAACCACTTATTATCTGTGCATAAGTGCTGAATATTTATTTCCCTATTGGTTGGTGATTATGGATAATCATATATAATGTTACTTTCCATCAGTGACCTTTTCCAGTTACTAATACAGCACTAATCACCCTAAATTTTACCCAGGTGGCAAAACTTTGCCTGTTTCTAATGAGGAGAAAGCAATTGTCCTTTACACGGTGACTAGGCAATCAGTGTGTTCTTTTTCCTGATTCACTCAAAGACATGTTTTCTCACTTACTCTCAAAATTTCTTACAGCCTGGAGAAATGCTACCTGAGACCAATGGGTCATGTTCGCCGGAGGAAAACTCGAGGTATGTGATGCAGTTCTATCATGAAATGTACTTTAATGGCGAGGCGCCTGTGAGGCTAGCCTCAGCGCCTCTCTGTTTTAATAAAAATAAATACGCAACACGTTTTCAACTATGCAAAGATAAGACGTGAATTAAAAGAAAAGAAACGGGCTGGTCGTCGAATAGAGTTTTTCGTGGATAAAAAACTAGGGTTTAACTATGTGTGTGCCAAATGGGATTGTTGCTTATTTCTAGTATTTAACTATGTGTGTGCCAAACTTTATATTTTATTCGTACTTTCCTAGGTGGTGTTTGTGCTATTGACTTGTGTTTCATTTGTGTTCTTGCCTTTTTGGGATATATTTGACGTTTTTTTGTCATTTGAACATAAATATACAATTGCATCAACTATAATATTGTTTTTCTACATTTTGGTGGCATGTGTAGCTGAGGCCTCCATGGTGAATCGCCTCGCCTTGTGGTGAGGCCATGGGCCAATCGCCTCGTCTCGCTATTCGCCATTTAAAAACATTTTGTTTATTAGTTTTGTGGCAATCATTTTTTCTATTTCCTTTTTGCCCAAACTGCTTATCTTATGATAGACCACAATGTAAACGATTAGGATAGAGATGGAGTCCTTTACCATAATTTGACCTGTTATTATGGAACAACACATGGGTTTATATGGCAGTTTCCATTGGACCAAAAACAATTCATTACAGCACATAAAAGGCAAACAAATTTATATGTACTTCCCCTTCCAGATCCTATCCACAAGCTTTTGAAAGAAAAATTAAAAGAAGTAACTGAATAAGACCCTCTTAAAAGTTAGGTGAGTTTCTTGAGGATTTTCAAGGAGGACTTGAGACATGGCTCCAGAAAAGTTTATTTAATCTTGTTTGGATGTTTATTATTAGGAGAATGATGAGATTGAAGTCAAATTATTTGATATTTGATAAAAGGAGATACATAGAGCTAAATTGATTGCATCCTGCCTAAACCACTAAACCAGGGTTCAGCTTCTTAAGGTCCTTGAGGCCCGTAAAACCGTGTTGCAAAAAGAACAAGGAATGGCCTTTGCACGTGCTGTGGCAGCAGGTTTTGATATTGATTGCATGGAACATCTTATATCATTTTCTAACTGCTTTGGAGCCTTGCGTTTGATGTAAGCTCTCTCTTNAGGAAAGAAATGAAAACTCTACAGCCGAGGATGTAGATCATTAACCATTAAATTTTGAACCTTCATTGTAGAAACTTCCAGTTAATGGCCTCTGTTCTACGTAACAGGAAGGCGTGCTCAAAATTCATTGATCTGTGGAAGAGTAAGCATGAAACTGGACAATGGCTTAATATTGAAGCATCAGAAGATTTGCCTGCTCGGTCAGACTTCTGTGCAATTAATTCGTCCGGCATTATTATCAATGATTCATTTAAACATGATGAGTCCAATCACGAGCTGACCTCTGAAAATAATGGGAAATCAGGTTCAACAAATAATCCTGGTAAGTTCAAGTCTTTCGAGACATGCCTACTTCTCATCGCTCAGTCATTTCATCACTATTATCTTTTGTTGTTGCATGTGATTATGTCTTGCAGAATTATATTTCAACATGTAAAAATTTAGCAGAAAAGAGGCATATGTATCGAACTTCACGAACCTTTGTACTGATCTAGAAAGAATCTTCCTTTCTCCATTTTCAAAAAATCGAACATCTTGACCAGGGAAATCATAGAAAATGAATCTGCTAATGGAGGTTACAATCATTATACTTTTGACACAGTTAAAATTAAAGCCAAACATACATCAAATTGCTCTAAGCGGTTATTTGACAATTCTCCAGGAAAAACCTCAGCTCAAAACAACCAAAACAGAAGCAAAGTTCATGTACTTATGCTCCAGAATTCCGAAAATCCCATATAATTTGATCTCCATGATTAATGATTGACAATTTGAATTCAATTGGTTTTACCTTAGCAAACTGCACGGATAAACCAAAGATTAAACTTCTGAGTGAGTGCTTGCATTCTTCTTCTTCTTTTTTTTCTTTGTTCTGAAATTGAACTTCAAGACCTTTGTCTTTCCCTGTTATTTATATATTATTGTTTTTTATACCTTTCAGTTCTAATGATTAGTCAATTAGCCTTTTACTTGTGTAATGCATTGCTTTGTTGCTGCACATTAATGGGCGTAAGTTTCTCATCATACCTTTTTGTTTTAATTTCTAGACTACTCCCCATGTGTCTGAACTGATGTCGAGTTGTCTTGCAATTTCTTGACAAATTTGCTTGACTTAAGTCTCTTTATGCTTGATATCGTGTAGAACATGTTCTATTTATTTGTGATTCTTATGGCTTCAATGTGTTCTTTCAGTTTTACATTTACACAAATATTCTCATCATGTACTCATGCTTGGTGAAAATGGTTTTCTTGCCTTGTCTAGCTGAGAACTTTACTTAAAGTTCTCTTAATGATTGTAGAAGGTGGTTACATAACATACTTTCTATTGCATTTGCATCATGTTGGCTGCCTAAACCATTCTACAGCTTAGATTCCTGCAACAAAGCTGGTTTTTTCACCTTCAGTTTTTCTCTCGTAAAGTGCACGTGGTGGTGAATGTTTTTTGACTAAGTTCAGTAACATAAATTAATTGCTTTATTAAACATAACACTGCACGAACAAAATAAAATGTAGAACAAATGAGCTCCTAATGCGTGTTTTTTTTCAAAACTAGTGTAATGATGTCCTAATATAAAAAGAATGAAATAACATATTACAACCCCAACAAAATTATATGAAAAATGAGTCCTAATGATAAAAAAACATAAGTAACTAAATAAGGACATAATGTATATTATAGAACCATTAGTTCTTTTATTTATTTATGCTGCATGATTCAAGAGTGATTTTCTTTCATTTTGGTTTTGACATTCTCATAAGAAACAATCATGCCCGTTGGAGCTCAATGCATCAATAGTATTGCAAAATTATTCTTAATTCGTTCGGCAAACCGTCTACTTTATTCAAACACTTAGGGGGTGATTGTTTATGGACTCAACTAGTTTTTATTTGGTTTTATTTTTAACTATAGTTAATTTGGAAAAAAAATTGGTATGGTTAGTTGTTAGTAGATATATTACAATAATATTTAAATAAAATAATTAAAGTTGATTTGATGTAAAGTAGGAGAAAAATGATTGGAAGTGATAGTTGGTTAAATTTTTGTGAGTGAATAAATAGTGAATTAAAGTTGATGTGATGTGTAAGAATGATTGGTTGATATTATTTAATTATATTGATAATATTGAGGATAGTGGGGTTGAGTTAAGGTTGAGTTAAATTTTATTTTTGATTGTTTTTTTTTTAGTTGAATTGGTAAACAATCACCCCCTCAGGAATATTCTGGTCAAGCATATATATACAGTCAAACTTCGTGATTGTATGATCTTTACAAGGTATTTATGCTATTAGTTCATGAATATCTCTCTTAAATAAGCAATCATGTAATTATAATTGCTGACGTTGTTTTTTATCATTGTTCAAAACAGCCATCCAATTGATAGAGTTAAGGGTGAAAGCAAACAAAAATAATAATTGATAATCGATACTATTAATTAAGAAAATAACTCTAAAATAACTCCGGATGAGTCCTACCCAGCCCAAGACCCGACACTTCAAGAAGAAAATTCTTGCCCAAGCTTAAAGCCGACAATTCTATTCAACAAAATATAACCCAAGGTATACTTGATAGAATCCTAACCCTATCCGTAATTATAGCCCTACTAGATATTATAATCAAATGGGCCCAAAAGCCCAGTTATTGAAATAAAAAGTAAATGAAATGACCTTCTATCTCTAACTCTATGGTAGTTGATGCATTTCAACCAATAGTTGGTCCTTGAGAGGAACTTGTCTTCTGAAATTCCAGCTTCTGGCAACAAACCTGGCAGGATCGGTTACTGAGGCATTCTTTATATTGGTTTCACTTTAGATATGCATATTGTCTTGATTGATGTCCGTTGATTGGTAGCAGAGATCGTGTAACTGCACACATAAATAAAGGATTTTTACAAATGTTCCTCTAATCATGGATGCACTCGTAGTACTCAAAATTTCTCAAATGTTATATTCAAATAAAATCTGTTCAAATCTTATAGTACTGGGCATAAGGATGATTTAATGATGATTACGCTTTCATTGATCTCTGGTATATATTCCAGCCCCAAACAGTGAACAAGAATTTCAAGGACAAGTTCCTCATATAGTATTTCCTCCATGGCCTATGCATGCCCCAGCTGGCGCGCATCCAGTATTTCCATCATATGCCCCTCCAAGAATACCGTATTATCAGACTTACACAGGCAGTGGTCCCTTTTTACTGCCACATCATCACCATGTGGAGCATTTCTTGTCTCATCATGGTCCTAATTCGGGATACAAAAGACAATCCCTTGATGTTAGCAATAGTTATACCGTGCCACAGACGAGGGAATTTGATGGAATTAGATCATCGGGTGACATGACATCAGATGAAGAAGTGTCATATAGTCAGAAACAAAACAAAAGAACTGGAGGTTCGAACAAAAAGCAGCAGCCAGGCAAAGTCGTTAGTCAAAATATTAATTATGCCACTCCTAGAGAGAAGAAATCCAACAGTGAAACAGATTCAGATTCCCAACCGGACATTGGTAGAGGGAACAAATACTATGAAGATGTTGATGCAAATCATCAGAACAAGAAGAGGTCTTCCAGAAATGGAGGAAGCCAGGTCAGCAATGATGAGGTCTCTACTTCACAACAGGATAGTGAAAACATGCACTGGCTGGCATTTCAAGACTGTTTGTTGAGAGGAAGTGAAGAAGGTGCTAATGCTGAGGGCATGTTCACAATGGAAAGGGATGTGAAGATGCAGAGATACAAAAACATTGCAAGTGAAAACCCATTAGCACTTTCTGTGCGGGATAGAGGTGAAATAGGAGGTGATATGACTGGGGGCAGGATCCATGGAAGTGCATCTCATAAGCTTAGAGGATCCGACGATGAATTTATACTTTCCAGTGCTGATAATGGCTTCAGGAGAGAGAATGATCAAATGGATGTTCAATTTAATGAAAGTAATGGAAGGAAGATTTTATTTAGAACAGCAAAAGAAGATTTTATGGTTGTGAGTAAGGGTGACCAAGCGAATTTCAGGAATTCATTCGACCCAATAGCTATGAATAATAATTTGGAGAGTGGCACCAAAAGAATAGATAGAGACTTGAATAGAATGAGTGATGAAACTTTGGTTGTCCCCTCAAGGTTGATGTCGTTGGATCAAGATGGAGGAACAGATAGAACTGCTATTGATATAGATTCTGAAATTCCCACAAAGAGTCAAAAGTTGGGCTCTGAGGGAAATGTGAAGAATGTAAACTACGTAGCTAATGATTTGAGCTTGATGCCTGAACGGGAGACTGATAAGAGGTCTATTGGATACGCCATTGGTCTGGAGTATGAAATGCAGGTGTGTGCACATGCCTCGGATGAGAAAGGTAAAAGGAAAATCAATGATGTGAGGGGTAGGTTAAGTAAATCAGACAAGAACAGGAGGTCAATGGCTACATCAGACCCTCCGCATAAACAAAAAAGTGGAGGCCCTGTGAGGAACGTCAGACCATCAATGATGAGTCCCTTAGAAGATGCGCGGGCCCGTGCTGAAAGACTAAGGTCCTATAAAGCAGATCTGCAGAAAATGAAGAAAGAAAAGGTATGATATGCGTTTCACGTCCCAAGGCAAGTTACTAATTGCATGATGTGGCATGTCCACCTTCTTTTTAATTGTTTGGTTGTCGCCAAAAAGGTGCCTTGGAATTGTTGGCAATATTCTTTTCTTGTTTCGTGAGAATCTTAATCATCATGTCAACCGGTTAGTTTCTTCTTATTGCTAAACTGAGACCCGAATGCATCTTGACTTTACATACATCATTTTTGTTTTCTTATGATGCTACTTTACTCTCTTTAAATAGACTCCGTATTCTTAAGTTAATACTCTACAGGAAGAGGCAGAAGCAAGGAGACTTGAATCTTTAAAGCTGGAGAGGCAAAAGAGAATTGCAGCTAGAGTTGGATCCAACTCTGTAAAGCCATCTGCCCTATCCCATCAGACAAAACAATTGCCCACGAAAGTTTCTCCTACAGCGAATAGAGGATCTAAATTCAGTGATGCAGAGGCCGGGACATCATCTCCCTTACAGAGATCCAAGGTCAGAATTCCACTGGAATCAAGTGAGACACATAAAACCTCCATAGGAAGTAAAATAAGTGATGGTACCCAAAAGCCAGGGAACAGGTTAATGAGGTCCTTGTCATCTTTGTCCGAGGCAAAACGAGAAAAGAATGGTGTGATTCCTGATTCTAAGGCTTCTATATCAAGGATCAGAAGGTTGTCAGAGCCCAAAACAGTCAACAAATCTCCAGTTACTACAGTGAAAGCTCGAAGTGCTGAAACAGTTTTAAAACAGAAGTTGTTCGAAGGGGCTGAAATGAACAAAGTATCTGCTATCATTGATCTTGATCGAAGTAAGGCTGCAACTCTACCTGAACTGAAGATCAAAACACCCAAGACACATGTAAAGACTAGCGGGAACAATTCAGAAGTAAAGGACTTGCAGAATTTAAATGGAGTGAAGCCTTCTGCATTCCGTGGAAATGCTGATTTAAGTGCAAGTACTTGTAATACATCACATCAGATTGATGCAGATGACAACCCCATTGTTGAGAAAACTGTTTTGGTCCTCGAGTGTGAGAGACCTTCTGTTCCTACTTTGCATCCATCAGAAGCAAAACCACAGGTAAGGAGTCAACAGTTGAGTAATGGTATCAAAGGAGAGAAAGGTAATGTGACATCTGAGTTGGCTTCCCTACATGCTTCTCGCTCATACAAGGATGAAACTGATAAAGAACCTCGCAGACAAAAGCAATCTGATCATAATGAGGTAATAAACATGAAAAAGGTACCTTTTGTGTTCATCTATGTGGCAGTTCTTCATCTCCTCCCTTCTAGATTTTGAAGGTAGAAAAATAAAACGTGCATGTTCATGCAACTTTTTCCATATCTATTTCGATCATTAGTTACCTGTCAAATTCGTTACTGTATTATTAGTGAACTGCAGAGTCCGCAGACTTCTTCATGGAAACTAGTTGAGAATTCAATATTTATTCAATTACTTTTCCTTTTTTAGTCTGTTAACAATTACACTATGATTCTAATGGTGCTTGGTGTTTTCAGGTGAAGACTGTCTATTCAGAGAAGGATCCTCCCACCTCTGCCAACATCGCAAATGCTGAAAATCCATACCGAGCTCCACATGCCCGTGTCTCCTCTTTGGAAGACCCTTGCACTCACAAGACAGAGTATAATAAAGCACCACAAGGAAGTGCTGAAGTGGTGTCACGTGCTGAAAAAACTGTCAGAACACTAGTGCCTGATGTAAAAACTACTAAAACAGTGAAAGATCATGCACATTCAGAGAAGGTTTCCATGAAGGAATCACCAAAAGGTTTTAGGCGGCTCCTGAAGTTTGGAAAGAAGAATCACACTTCATCCATAGATCAAAGTATTGATTCAGAGTGTACCAGCAGTGGCGTTATTGAGCAGGAAGATAATGCACGAAAAATGGCTTCAACAAGTGAAGGTGATGTGAACTTTTCTATCTGGAATTATGTGAATTAGAATTCTGTGAATCAGATAGACATGTAGCAAAGAGCATCTTAATGAGATCCCTCTACATGGGTGTTGTAGCCAATTTACCAACTTATCTGAAATGAGGAGAAATTTGTCAAATTGTTTTAACTATCCAATGTTTGGACTTGGACAATTAGAGTAGGAGAAGAAAAAGGCATCTATGTTAGACAAACTGGATGTTATGTTAAATAATATGGATTACGCGTCGGCTTTTTATGGCTGCTGGAGTCTATTGTCGCCCATGCAACTAGCAAGAGTATTTTGGTGCTAAGAAATTGTTTTCATGATCTTTTCTTATGAACTTATCCCATGTTCTCAGGGTGACATTTCACCTTTGGTTTCTGTTTAATTGAAATTTAGTGTCTGGAATAGTTGTAGAAGTTGTTTGATGGCAAACAATGAAAGCAGAGTACCAGATTTACATGCCCAACAACTTTCTGTACAAGCTTATCCTGTAATGGCTGTGGAAGTTAACAGCCATTCTGCCTGATGAAATGAAATTGTCACTTTCTGACTTCCTTTCTGTTTCTTTTTTGCCCCTTTTCTTTTCTTGTCTCTCTCAGTTGGCACATTAAAGAATCTAATCTCTCAAGATGAAATCTCTGCAGCTGGCAATGTGCCACAAAAGTGTACGTACTTTTTTTTGTTGAAGGTGCATTATGTTCTTAACTTCCTTTCAGTAATTATTTTACTGATAATTCCAACTCTTCCACAGCAACTCGGCATTTCTCTTTTTTCTCACACTTTCGGGGTAAAACGAGTGAAAAGAGACAAGCGACATAGAATTCAAGATGTTCAGGTGTGTTAAAAAGCCCCATGACCTCGTGAAGTATTTGCTATTTATTTTCATTAAAAATGAGAATACCATTCATTTCGATGTTAATCGACCGTATATCTTTCAAATTCGACCCCGCAAAGATGTGCAGTTTTGAAATTGCCTAACTGTTGTAGGTACCTTCACAACCTCACCTCGTCGGTTATGACAATTGCTGAAAATGCTGAGCAAAATTTTGAAATCCAAATTCAGCTCATAAGTTTTCGGGTAAAGACGTTCATGCTTAATTCCTGCTTATCCACTCAAGTTGTGCAGTTAATCGAATTGTTTGGAATAGGGAACTGATAGAGACGTGCTATTTTCGTTTGTAATTTGTAATTTCCATTAAGCAGTGTTTCTAATGACACTGAAGCCTTTTGTAAGGCATGTTTTCAAGAATGGGAACTGAGAATAAAGAAGGGGAGAAACAAGAAAAATAAGGAATTAGATGCTTGAAAATTCCTTCAGATCCATTACATCAAGTGGTATTGCAAACTTTCCAAAGGTGTGGATCAGGAATTGAATCATGAGTCCATAATGACCTTTCAGTAGGATTCGAACCCTGATGGATTTTTCTGACCATCTATCAGAAAAAAAAAAATAGAATGAACCCATTTTTAGGTTTCCCAAGAAATTCTTCGATTTCTTTCGGAAGCAAATGCGGGACCAAGGCCCGTTTCCTTACAACTCGGCAACGTCACATTTGAATGTCTAATCTACAACAAATAATAATAATATTAGTATTCATAACATAATAATAATATTAGTATTCGTTATGGCTTTCAGGTTTATGTCTGTCACTCAACTCAGTAAGAACACTAACGTAATATTAATGAATAACTGTTCTGGGAAAAGTTCAGGTTTGGCACATCAACTTACATGTTCTCACTTTGAGTTTTTACTTAATTAATTTCGTACTTTAAGTTTCATCAATTGATTACATTTGGTAATGAGATTGCGTTGGTTTTCTTATAATTATTTATTACCTTTATTTTATTGTTATTTAAGTATGTTAATCTTGTATTTGGCAAGAAATTTTTTGGTAAGTAGGGCTCTCTTAGAACCGATATTTAAGACTCCTATTCTATGAATTTTAGGGATAATTGATTTTGATTGAATACAAAAAAATGAGAGTTCTCTCTCAATCTCTCTTGCGTTTACGATTTTGCTACGTCATGTACCTAAATACCCCCTGAAGCCACAGGAATAACACCTGGGTTTCTTTTGTGCATGTGAATCACCGTTTAAAACCTAGATGCACAACTTTCGATGATCTAGACCTTCGGTTGATGATTATGATGTATTGTTAGACTCATTAAAAGATAGTTAAAAATTATAAATTTTTTGGAAATCTAATGGCATGTGTTATAAAGTTTAATTAAGACTTTGGTCATACAAATTAAAGCTCGTGTATAGTACACAATATTAATTTGTCCTTCAATTGCGTCGATGATTATCAAAGCAAAGTCTAGCTATGGAATGCTTGGATCTGGAAATAAATTAACAAACTTCATTTTATTCTTATAGAATTAAGTATAGAGATATGTGTTTCAATACATCATTCGGACACTATTTCCACGTCATTCATTATATTAAAAAAATCACAAGATTCTGTCCTGCATAGTCCATAGATACATCTTAATTTCTCAAAAGTATTATTGCAAAACGTTTATGTGGCACAATATATAGGGGTCACTTCATTTGGAGTCAGTTGTTGGAAATGAACATAACCATATTGAATTTAACAAGGAAATAAGAAATGAACAAAATAGTAAGTGAAGAACTTAAGATGGTCGAGTTCTGTAAGATTTTTCAATGAAACTGAGTATACAAACCATGGTTATTTATATAGAACTAATTCTAGGATATCATGTCATAATTAACTCATTCCACTAACATAACATGATCTCACAAACTGCATAAAAAGGAAACTGCCAAATAAACTGTTGCATGAAGACTGCATGCATGTAAGGCCACGTCCACTTTGTTAATATTCATGTCTAACATCCCCCCGCAATTCGAAAGAGTTGAGAGGAATAACCTTGAGCTTATGACGCATGCGAGTGAAGAATTGACTCGAGAGTGGTTTAGTGAAAGAATCAGCTGCTTGGTCAATGGCAGGAACATGAAGGACATAAATGGACTTATTCAAAACTTTTTCTTGAATAAAATGAAGATCTACTTCAATGTGCTTGGTTCTATCTTGGATTATTGGATTGCAGGATATGAAAACGGCACTAAGGTTATCCACCCAAATAGTAGGAGAAGGAATCTTGGTGATGTGCAATTCAGTAAGAAGAATTTTGATCCATAGGACATCTGAAACCGCATGGCCAAGGCTTCTATATTCAGCTTCAGTGCTACTCCTTGACACAGTGTGTTGCTTCTTAGAGCTCCAAGAAACCAAGTTGCCTCCCACAAAAACACAATGCCCTGATGTAGATTTGCGCTCATCTGGATCTGAGGCCCAATCAGAGTCAGAGAATGCTGAAATATGAAGGTGTGATGACTTGGTTATGAGTAAACCATAGTCCAGGGTCCCTGCTATGTACCTCAAGAGTCTTTTCATGGCTTTCCAGTGAGAGTTTAGAGGTGATTGCATGAACTGACTGAATTTGTTGACCACAAAGATGATGTCAAGTCTGGTTAATGTGAGGTACTGAAGGCTTCCAACAATTTGCCTATAAAGAAGAGGATCATGGAAAGGATTGCCTGAGTATCTAGACAGAGGTGGTGAAGTGACCATAGGGGTAGACATAGGTTTTGAGTTTTCCATGTTTGCCTTCTTGAGAATCTGGGAAGCATAGTTGTGTTGTGTTAATAGTAGTCCTTGGTCATGATGGTGAATTTCCATGCCCAAGAAATGATGAAGCTGTCCAAGATCTTTGAGAGAGAAGGCATTGGAAAGAGAAGAGATGACATTCTGCACATCTGAAGTGGAGCTCCCTGTGATGATTATATCATCCACATAAACTAACAGATAAATGATGTGATTTTGATGTCACTTTAATAAACAGTGAGGTATCTGCCAGTGAGGATTTGAAGCCAAGATTCAACAATTCAAGACTTAACTTGTCAAACCATGTCTTTGAAGCTTGTTTAAGTCCATAGATAGCTTTGTTGAGCTTGCAAGCAAAACCTGGTATTTTTTGTGTTTTAAAGCCAGAAGGCTCTTCCATGTAGATGGCTATAGTTTGATCTAATTCCCCATTTAGGAAAGCATTATCCACATCAAGCTGCTTTATTAGACATCCTTTAGACAAAGCAATAGTGAGAATCAATCTTATTGTCACAGGTTTGACAACTGGACTGAAAATGTCTTGATAATCTATGTCTGCCACTTGTGTAAAGCCTTTGGCTACAAGTCGGGCTTTGTACCTAGAAATGGATCCATTTGCATTGCGTTTGATTCTAAAGACCCACCTGCAACCTATGGCTTTTCTATCTGTTGGTAAAGGCACAACTGTCCATGTGTTATTCTTTATCAAGGCCTTATATTCATTCTCCATGGCATTTTTCCAATGTGGAGAAGAAAGAGCCTCTGAAAGTGTTGAAGGTTCTGATTCTGTGAGACTTGTAGAATAAACTTTAGGTTTAAAGATCCCTCTCTTTGACCTTGTCACCATGTGATGTTTGGACTGATCCGTAGGTGGTGATTGTGGAGTGACTGCAACTGGACTTGAGTTTCTCATGTCAATATTATCATGATTAGTATGTGATGATGATGGTGATGATGGTTGTGTATGGTAGGAGTTTGGTAATGAAGGGGTTAATGAAGCAACTGAGTGAGTAGTGCTGGACCTTGGTGTGGTAATTGTTTGTGTATCATTAACAATAGTATGCAAAGGTAATGTTTGTGATGTTTGTGATGCAGTAGTGTTTGAGGATAGTGGTGGAAAGAAAGGTAAAAAATTATCATGTTGCTCAACTTGCTTTGGAATAACAGAAGACTTATATGGAAATGAGTTTTCATTGAAAACAACATTTCTAGAAATGATGATTTTTCCATTTTTAAGAAGGATCCTATAACCTTTAAACTGAGAGCTGTAACCCAAGAATACACCCGGTGAGGATCTAAGATCAAGTTTGTCTTTAGTGTAGGGTCTTAAGTGGGGAAAACACTCACAACCAAAGACTCTCAAGTGCTTGTAGTTAGGAACTGATCCATAGAGTTTGAAATAAGGAGAATCATAGGAGATAGTTTTGTTTGGTATTCTGTTTATAAGATAAATGGCTGTAGAGAAAGCTTGCTCCCAAAATCTTTTAGGAACACAAGAAGATGACATCAAAATGAGAGCTACTTCTACAACTTGTCTGTGTTTTCTTTCAACCAAGCCATTCTGTTGAGGAGTATGAGGACAAGAAATCTTATGGATTATTCTTTTTTTCTGTAAACAAGGGAGTTAAAGGCTTAATATCTGTGCCTCCATCACTTTGGACAACTTTGATTCTGTGATTTAATTGGTTTTCAACAAGATTCTAAAAATGTGTACAGGCTTTGATTGTGTCTAATTTTTGTTTGAGATAATATAACCAAGTGAATTTGGTAAAGTCATCCACAAAGGCTACATAATACGAAGCTCCTGAGGTCGATTTGATTGGACTAGGTCCCCACAGGTTAGTGTGTATCATTTCAAGAGGTGTTGTAGTATTGTGGATTGAAGATGGAAATGGTAGAATATGAGATTTAGCTTGAATGCAATCAGCACAAAACATTTCTTTATTAGCATAAGAAAGGTTACAACCATTTAAAGCTCTCTTTGTCACATCAAAAGATGGATGAACTAACCTTTTATGCCATAAATCTAGATTTTGAACTGAACTAGCAAAACAACTGCTATTTTTCATCTCATTCTTGGCTTGATTGAAGAACATAGGGGCTGGAGTTTGGCTAGACAACTTTTTCAGCTTGAAGGTATATAGGCCATCTTTAAGAATCCCTTTGAGAAGAGGTGTTCCTGATGTTTGATCCTTGAAAACACAAAAGGTAGGGAAAAATTCAAAAAATACATTGTTATCCTTAGCAAATTGAGCAACACTAATTAAATTCTTTGCTATCTGAGGAACATGCAAAAGGTTGTTTAAAGTGAATGTGTGTTTAGAGGTGGCTGTGCTATGCTGATTAATGACATGTGTCTTACCAACATGAGAGATTTCAAGTCCAGCTCCATTTCCAACTTGCACTTTCCTGTATAATCTGAGGCAACACTAAGATTAGAAAAATCATTAGTGATGTGAGAAGCTCTTGAGTCTGGAAACCAATCATTTTCATTTGTGTTGTCTCTTGCTGCATACATGGCTGAGACATGGTTTCCTGGACTTCTGTTATCACTGAAATTCCTTTGATTCTGCTCTCTTGGCACAAAATGTGGATTGAATTTATTATAACACTTGTCATCTGAGTGATTTGTGTAGCCACAAATTTGGCATTGCACTCTATTTCCAGAGTTTCTTCCACCACCTTTTTCTCTTGTGTTTCTATCTCTTTCCTCTGAAATTGCATCTGCCTCTTCCTAAGCCAAAGTTATGTGTTGGTTTATTGGTTTTTGAAGCAAAATTTGCTGTAGGCATATTAATACTTTCAGTAGCAAGAGTAGTTGCTTCCAATCTGCTTTCATAGGTAAGCAACAAGGATACAACATCTACCAAAGTAAGGTTTTCTGGCCTAGCATTGATACTAACCACAACTGCATCATATTCAGAACCTAGTCCACTTAGGACATGCAAGATTTGATCTTGTTCTGAAATTTTGT